CGACATGGTCCTGCGATGCAGCTGTCGAGTTTCGGATTTGTACGTCTCCCGCGTTTATAAAAGATCCGTCCAGCCACCTTATTCTGGGTTTTCTCACTCTTATTGTCCTCTGCAGTTCCTCTGACATCAACAGTTTGGGATGGAATGATTCGAATGGAATCATCCATTCGAGAGACATGGCCAGCCCAGCGTAGCTTTCCAATCTTAACAAACCTGACAACATCTACTCAGTCGTTGGGCTCCTGATGTTCTTGATTTTTCCTTCCGCGCAATACATTACTCTATACGGCCCAAAGATTGTCCGGAGGATCCTCAGTATTCCAAAATCAAAATTACTTTTACTTCTAAAAAGAAATTAAGAAGCATTGCGGAATGGAGTTTATGTGGACAAAATAGCCCATTACAAGAAGCATTTTCGAGCAGAGTGTTTAGTTTTTCATCAATAGCATTTGAAGGTCTTCCGTCGATTCATAATCTAATTCATTAAAAGATTTGTCAATTATTTTGTTTTTATAAATTATCCCTAAAAATGCAAGGTTTATTATTATTATTATTAATATATATATATATATATATATATATATATATATATATATATATATATATATATATATGGTTTTATAGATTCTGTTATGAATTAATATATTAATTCACCTTAAATATTTAGTGGACTCTTCTCCAGGGAGAGCCTAGTCAACACTGATCTAATTTAGGTATGAGGTGTCAAAATCTAAGAGGTTTGTTATTTTACATATTTAAGCTATTAATTATGTGATCATAATGACTTCCTATATTAGCAGGTATAATTAATTTATTGTTTTATAATTTATTGCCTTATAAATATATTTTGTGATGAAAATAGATTCAGTTAATTGTCTGTGTGTACTATTTGGTTCTTTGTATAATATTGGAGGTCCTATTAAGTTATTAATGCGATAAGTTATAGAAATACATGCATTTAAAAATATAAATACAAAAAAGACATATAATATAAATGTTTCTTATTATAGTCTGAAGATAGGATATTAAAGTGGATCCCGAAACTTTGCGCACATATTAATAAATTTTCATCTGTGTAACAACTCTGTTATTACCCTTGATTAAGGTAGGTGGTTTTACATTTTTAATAAAACTTATATCTTTGAAAAAAAAAACTTACCTTCATGACTCATAAATCGTGGATACATTCGATTGTATAGGTGTTTGTATGATAGAGAAAAAAAAAGTGTGCCAAGTACGGTCAGTCCTATTGTTGCCCAAAATCGGTCTTGGTCTTGTAAAGTGCCAAGACCAAGACCGCCTAACTGTCGCAAGACCAAGACCAGGACTGGTAAAAAACAAATCGGTTTTTTGAATAAAAATTAAAGCAACATAGTTACTAATATTTGACAAATTTAGTTACTGTTAGTAGAGAATTGGTATAACTAATATACTTTTGCATTTAACTATTCTAATTTTTCATTAGGACTTAGTTAAGTTTCTTCTATCTAAAAAAATACAGTAATATCTCTATGGTAATAAGCTAATAAATAATTGCCAGACCGTTGCGAGACTCTTGCGCAAGACCAAGACCATGACCAAGACTGAGTTTGCAAGATCAAGACTTGTCTCGGTCTCGCTTTTGGACAACACTAGTCAGTACAGTTTCCTCACCAATTACAATGTACATAATCACTTATATTGCTAGTTCTACGGTTTGCCATTTTAGAACAGGGCTTAATTGTGAGGCCATTTTTGAAGTATAGTCACGCACTTCTAAACATAAGAAATCGGTGGAGATTAAAAGAATCCAAATTGGATCATCAAGGTATCTAGCCACACCATAACTGAAAATTTCTTCAAATGGAATTAACGGCAGTGTAGGAGTTACGCCCGTCAAATGAATTCGACTTTAGAAAGATTTTCAAAACCGACTATAATAATTAATAATAAATAATTAGACCGTGATCATTTAGCATTACATGGGCGAACTCACATTTTATTTTTTTTTGGATCTTCGATATTATTTATAAAATATTCTACAGTACATAGATATATCTAAAGATGATGTAATAATCTCCTATTTTATTTTAGTGATATATTGAAGGGATGAATTAAAAGGAAATAACAAGTAGTAAAATACGAAAGAAATACATAAATGATGAACTATAAAAATCGGCATTGCCAACAATGAGAATTAGCTGGTTATGGGGCAATGAAAAATATACGACACGGGAGAGGGGAGAATCACAATAAAAATGGGTGAGCCCAGTTTGGTTTTACTTCTCCACAGAAACGCTTTCTTGTAAAGGCAATTGTTCTCCCATACTTTATTGATCTTCAATTTTTATTACCATTTTTTTCTTTATCTTTTGTCATTGTCTCTTCTTCTTGGACCGTTTATTTATTTTATTTTTTTGTTCGCCGACCGGACGCACGTTCTTCAACAAGAAACACTTGCCCTACTTTCCGAGACTTCATGAAAAGTAAATTGAATATTGAAGGAGGGTTGTGACTTTATTGCTGCGACGCTCAAGTACAATATTCAAGGTAATGTTACAATGTCAACTGCCACTTCTAACAGAGTCTGATAGATGTAAATAAATATTTATGGAATGGTTTAATAAAATGAAATAGGAAAAGAGGTGCTTCCAGAAATAAAAAAACTTCTTGATATATATATATATATATATATATATATATATATATATATATATATATATATATATAGCGTGTGGCAGATTGTATTAGTAAAATCATAATACTCAATAAAATCATTAAAAAAAAAAAAATAAAATATATATATAATACGATAGTAACGTAACGATCCCTTTTCCGGTCCCCAAAAGCGAAGAATTTTGCTGAAAGAAGTGTCAAGCGAAAGGGACTTTCATGGAGAAGTGACGAAACATATTAGTATCACCCCGAAATCAGGAAAGAAAAAGAACTCATTTTGAAAATAACTCAAAAACTATATATTTTTTTATTAGACCCAAAATAACTCAAAAGAATTAAATTCCCACAAAAAAAAAAAAAAAAAAAAAAAAAAAAAAAAAAAAAAAAAAAAAAAAAAGAGAAATGGGAAAATATCGAATTCGGACCATTTTAAGCAAAGACACAGCTTATTGTAATTTGTACATATGCTGATTTAAAATATGAATGAAGTTATTAATTTTCCTTTTATTTCTTGGTTGATTACAATTACTTAGAAAATAAGAATTGATTTATTCACCTTATGATACGTTACACAATATTTTTTTCTTACTTTGTCCATGTGATTTATTCACAGATGCTACAAATACAGTTTAAATTTTTCTTCCTCATAATCGAAGGTAAGGAAGCTTTGAATTCGTGAGGGTTTTTAAAAAAACATTTTTGTGCTCTCAGAATCGAAAATTTCCTCTCATTTTTTTGAGTTTTGAATGTCAAGGAATGAATGTGGTATCTTGTGCGTATTTGTAGTCAAATCTATGTGGCTAGCATATCACCAGATCTGCTAACATCTTTAATCCGATTTTGATGAGATTTTCAAGGATTGGATGGGTTTGTACCTAGAAGATCCCACACGAATTTCGTCAAATTCCATTTGACTTTTACTTCCGGGTAGACAAACTTATTATGAAACGCTTATATATATATATATATATATATATATATATATATATATATATATATATATATATATATATATATATATATATATATATATATATATATAAATATATATATATATATCAAGAATTGCTCATTCGATAAAGCTGTAAATTTAATATGTTTATTAGAAATGTAAAAACACAACATTCTCTATTGACCAGGGTTCTCTGGTAGCACAAAAACTTTTATAACAGTAATGCCATTATAATTTTGCTAATAACAATGATACTGATAAAATTTCAGAGTGAATACACCCTGCGTTAATCCAAAGGATCGAAGTCTTCGAATGTTGCTTCACTGAACCTCGCCGATTCTTATGTAATACTTAGGCTAATAACAAAATTTAATAAACGAACCTATTGAAGTATAATTATTAATAGGAAAAATTAACCGAAGTTGCAGGAGATATTTTTTCATAAGAAGCATTGAGGATGAAAAAAATCATAACAAGCTACTACGTTGAAAACATAAAAAAAGTAATTGCGAAATGAAAAATAAACACTCTCACAAGAGGAGTAAAAAACAAAAAAGAATATATTTGTTTATAATGAAATTAAATGAAAATTCATTAAAATGTTTTAAGTTTTTTTTTTTTTTTATTCTTTTAAGAAAACAGAGTCGGGGAAAAGAACAGACATAAATAAATAAATAAAACGAATTATAATTCGTATACGTTCACCGTTTTTAAACAATATTATTATTTATAATAAAAATTCCTTATACCTAGGATATCTATTTTGTATTATTTTTGTAAAGATGTTGTGGATTCATTATATCATAACAAAAATAATTTACTTTTATATTAAATAACGTTTTGGATCTCTTAAATTCTTTTCTAACTTGCCCAATGTTTCGACAATTTTCATATCCTAATTATTTAATTTTAATTTTCGCTTATTTATTTTCAATGGCCCTGTTAGTATATTTCCTCTTTTATATTCATTAACCATATTTCGTATACTTGAAAATATATTATATATTTAAGATGAAACGTTGTAGTACTGCACTTCATGTACCTGTTTGACCATCACATATACTTCAGATGAGGATAAAAATTCTCAAAACGTTTGGCAATATGGTGAGATTAACAATGAACATTAATATAGTATTGTTGTCATACGTTATTTATTAAAGGGGAAAAAACAAAGTACCTTTAATTTATACTTATAAACAGAATATTTACACACATGCATGATCTACCCTTGGGCAGTGGAAGGACTTTGTTATTTGTATATATTAGTTTAGTTATACTTGTATATGTAATTTAATTAAATAAACTTTTTGGGGGGTTAGAAAAAAAAATACATACATGAAATAAACAAGAAAAAAAATACTCTGTCTGACCTTTATTTAAATTTACACAAAGCTTAGTTTAGCAACAGAGACAACCAACTACCATTTTCCGACTTTACTACCACCATCATCATTTGATGGTCGTTGCAGAACCTTTGCCTCCTTGGAAGAATCTTCTTCCAAACTGGCCTGTCTTTAGCTGCCTCTCTCCATCCGACATCCATGCTCCTAAGATCGTTTTCAACGTCTTCCAGCCAACGAAGTCTAGGCCTGCCTCTTTTCCTTCTTCCATCTGGGTGTCCTTCCATCATAATTTAAAGGAGCCTGCTATGTTCAATGCTTTGCACGTGACCCAACCGTCTTATCCTTCCCCTCTTTACGGTGGGTATAACATCTATGGATTATATTGTTTCTTTATTCTTTAGTCTTCAACCGCCAAAGATACCTATCTTTGGTTGGACCATAGATTTTCGAAGGATTTTTGTCTTGTACACTCTTACTTTTGAGAGCTCGTTGGAAATCTCCACTCGAAAGATTTTTGTTAGGGACCCATAGCACCTATTACCAACTGTTATCTTTGCCTTATTTCTACGTTTATATTATTATTCTCATTATTAGTCATAGACAGACCTGCTATTTTTGTTTTCAAAATCCTCTAGCATTCCAGTTCTTCTGTTTCCTTTTTTCTCTATTTAATTCTACCTTAATATGGTCGCACATGAATTGTACGACTATCCGTCAACTCCGATGTCTAGAATATTTAAGTATATACAAGTATATTTAAGTACATAAAAGAAGATTCAAAAGTAGGGAAGAATATGTCCAAAAATCCAAAAAACTAAAAAGAATTAAATATATATCTATAATATAATCTTTTGTGAATAATCGGAGTCTTTATAAGAAAATATGTCTCACCCGTACGATATTTTCAGGATGATAAAAGATTTGCCTTACAAAATCTTCCATTTTAGAGGCGTTTTCTTAGGTATTCAAAATCGTAAAATAGCCTCTATAAATAAATAGATTACAGTAATCAAGACATAGATTAATGGTTGCCTTATTACAGTGAATAAGGAAAGCGTTTATATCAAAAAAAGGTAATTAAAAATTTACTTTTAATTATGAAAGTAAAATTGTTTTTAATGGAAGACAATGAATTCACAAAAATCTTAATTAATGCAAACAAGAAATCCGTTTGAGTTGAGTGCAGTTATTTCATGTTATGCGATTGAACTAAATTTGTTTATATTGATAAATTACTGGTTATATAAAAACTAATTATTATAATAAAAGATAAAAAAATACTAATCGAATTAAATATAATTGGCATTAAGGCAAACGTTGTCTAGTATTCAATGGAATATCAGGGATATGAAGTACTTTTCCGATAGAATCAAATTTAAAATTCGCTCCAGACTAAATAAGGCTCATTGTATTGTAGCATAGAGCGTGGGCCCACCATTTTTAGCCACCGCCAAAGCCACATAAATCAGACTGGTCCGCCTAATGCCCTCTCCACGAGCAGGTAGCCTTTTTCCGCCATGGTCCTACTTATCGTCCATTAAAAAAAAAATTGTAATAACAGAGTTTATTTTTGGAATATATCTGAATAGCTACATATCTATTGTAATGAATATTATTTTCTACATAATTATTACATTATTAAACATCTTTTCGTTCGAACCACAAATAACATAAAATGAACTGTAAAAATGTATTATTTTACATAAGTTGATGCAGAGTTATAGAGTCCCAGAAAATTTAGCAGGACAAAACATCCATCAAAATATGGATGGTGAATATTTTTGGGAAACAATAATGAAGGATAGGGAATAAGTATTAAAGATAAGAATAGGGAAATAAGAATTAGTCGAATCTAGGGGTGCCCAGAAGGGGTTTCATGGCGCCATCAAAATTTTTGAGGGGCATATATTTTGACGGGTTTTTGAATTTTTGAGGAGTGGGGGAAAATTTGACGGGATTATTAATTTTTCCACTAAGATGCAAGGGGAAAACTTGAAACATACCGCAGCAAGTGTAATTGTACATGATCTACGATTTTTCTAATTCTACCTTACCTTGCTCTGTTTTTAAGAAAAGTGAGCAGTAAAATATCTTGGGAGGAGGGGAGGGGGTAGGTTCTTGCGCCATCGACCTTTGAGGTGGGGATGGGCACCCATGGCCGAATCCAAAACAATCAATATGAATAAAAATAATAATAGAGATAAAGAATTTACAGCCAATATTTAATAATATTGTGTACTGATTTTATTTGTTAAAGTGAAAAACAAATAAATTTCACAAGTTACAGTTAAGATTCTTTTTCAAAAAATATGAATTCGACTAAAAAAAAAAAAAAACCTTTTTAATATTTAAATTTTGTTTATATTATAATATTTTCGGCTAACTTTAAAGGCTTCTTCCAAGCTGAATACGGCGAACAAACAGTTTAATAAGACCCTTTTTTTTCTTCCCCTTTTAGGTTATACGGGTTTTTTCCGAGTCAGGGGGGGAGGGCGGGGGATTAACGTCAGAGCTAAAATATATTGGTATATAAGTATCTGTGTATATATAAGGATATAATGATATATTAGTTTGATTTTGTCTTGAGTTCAGACATTGTGAACGTATGTTGTGAGTAACCTATCTGCTGGAGGATGAGACAGAATCTCCCCCAAGTGTAGCGACCCTCTTCCACGGATCCCCTCACATAACCGTTACCGGAATTAGGACCCTTAGAAAGATGAAGACATGGGCTCGTTAGGGTTCAAGTGATCTACGCCTGTCCAAGAGGGAACCTAGTCCTGCCTAGTTGCAAGAGGACACCGAGTTGGTGAACCGTATCCTCACAGGTTTTCAGAGTAATAGTGAAGTTCCTAAACACAGCGCTTAGATCATTGATGAGCATTGAAAATCTACCAATGATCTCAGCTCTGAGTTTAGGAATTTTCTTTTATTGAAGGTTTTTAATATTGCATAACAACATTCACAAGCTTGATCACAGATTCTCATATTTATCTTTCATTTACAATTATACAACGGAGGCGATCTAATTAAAAGTCAACTGTAATATAATGGATAAATGTTATTTCAAACGGAAATTGTTTATTACTGACAATAAAAGTTAAGACTTATACAACAATTATATTGGAACCGCGAGCAAATATTAATTGTTTTTTACTCATATTAAATGTAAATGAAAAAAAAAACCATAAAACGTAAAAAAAAAAAGGAAAGAAAGAAGCTTAAATTTAAGAACCATTAGAAAATTAAGCACTGACTAACTAAGTAATAACTTTGTCTGATGTTGTATGCTGAATTGGCATTTAAAATCTGTTTCATTTTTGTACCACGGAAAACTAGAACATAGTTATTGAATGAAGTTAATCGACTGTTCTACATATCATGAGTGATAAATATTCAGGACGCAGTCATTATATAGTTTTTATTAGTGATGACGTTTCAATCCAAACATGTGGGTCATCATTAGGGCGTGTTTCGAGCACTGAAGATATTGAAGAACTGAGAAGGTATTCAGTACTTGAATACCTCCAGTGCACGAACCACGCCCTGATGATGACCCACATGTTTGGGTTGAAACGTCGGCTCTAATAAAAACTTTATAATGACTGCATCCTGAATATTTATCAACCATGCTAGAACATATTTACTATGAATAAATACATTATATAATTGATATAGTTTTTTACTATTATTTACAGCATTTTAATACAGATCGAATATGCCGAACTTGGTCTAAGAATGAAAACAAAATATGTTTGATGCTGAGCTACTATCATGAATTCTACAGTAGAAGCACTTAATTGCCTATTGTAACCTAAGCCTAATAGAAATAACTTAGTGTACACAAGGTTTCGTGTTAAGGAAGTTTGGCTTGAAGAGTAATTTGCATGGATTATATGTCGCCCAACTAATTATAAGGAACAGGTATTCTAACGAGTTAAACAGTTATTTAGATGTATATTACCGTACGAGAATCTAAAACGGGATAGGGGGTAATGGGCATGTTACACGAAACGGTTGTAAACAACTTAAGTTAGCTCCTTTTTATTCTGTGTTGACAAGATTCTATCTCGACTAAGAAAGAGTTTTATATTAGTTATTATTTCTTTTTATCTACTGTTAATTAAAATAATGCCTCGCAAAGCACAGAACAATATTGATGATTTGCATGATCTTGAGAATATTGAATTTAGTTTTGGATTATGACTAATTGTGGAAAACTTGGGCCACTATCTGACTGCGTTGAGGGACAATGAAAGAGTTGAAACGGATAAGGGAGGTTAATGGTCGTATTAACGACTGGACTAATAAAATTTTTCAACCAAAATATAGTTCCATTTAACCATTTCTGAAATTAAATTCATTCTAAGTAATTTATGATCTTTATTATAATTTAGAAAAAAAATACATTCCAGTTTTTTTTTCCATTATTTGATATTCACGAATTAATCTACAATTGGTTCAAGTGATATTTAGTGATAACCACTGAGCGGAATATGTTGAGCCCTCTGTACTTATCTTTGAGAAACCTAGTTGAGATCGTTTTGTTAGTTCTTGTTCTTTTCTTTTATGTGGTTATGTTCCAGATAATTTAATTTTACTATGGTGTAACCTTAATTATTTTATTATTAGAACCGGATTGTTATAAGATTTTACTAGCCAGATTATAGTATTCCTTAAGAAAAAATAAAATGAGCCGATTTTGAAGCATTTATTATAATTTTTTCACTAATAATAAATATCCATATAGAATTGCACTTTATACTGTTCTGCATTTGAGCAAATCGAAATGCATGTGGCGCCCAAACAATAAAAAAAAAAAATTAAAATACAATTTTTTTCATTAGAATGGAAGTGATAGGAGGAATTCACACATATTTATTTCAATGAATAAAATAAAATTAAAAGAAAAGAGAACTTCGAGGTAAAAGTCTGGGAAAAATAGCTTTTATCCAGTAAATCATTGAAGATTCATTTTATGATAAATGAATTTTTTAAATTTGAAATATTTCTTCATTCTATTTTTTTTTCTGTATATATATTTTTTGAGAAATGGCGAAAAAGAAATTTCTACACAAAAGGGGAAACACTTTGAAAAGCCATTTGCGTGAGGGGGTTACAGTTGAAATGTATTGGAATGAAAAAATGAAACGAGTTTCAGATTCTTCACAGTCCCCTCCCCCACCCTTTCTGAAATTGGAAATATGAGACAGTGAAATCGCTTCTGTTTATATTTGAATTTTTTTTTTCTTTCTCCTCTCCCTTCTCTTCCTTCCTCGGTGTT